TAGTTACTATTTTCGCTATTTTCATACGGAACAGCTTGGCTCCGTTTTCCCAATTGATCGACGATCTTGTTTGTTCTCTGCTCTGCAGGCAGGTTGACGATTTATGTCCGTCTTACACGCGTTTTTGCTTTTCTGGACCAGAGAGTAGAAAGCAATGACCGAAGAGCGCAGCAGAGTAAATGTTGGAAAGAGGGCGTTTTTGAGATCTACGCCGCGAGATTCGGATCGGATCAATATACTATTTTTATATAAACTTTTCTTTTTCAAATATGACTACAGTATATCAGGTAGTTTATTAAAATTTAGGGTAGAGTATTATGTTCATTAGGCCCTAGTTGTTTGTTACTTTGGTTGTTGTATGTCCAGGTTTATTAGCCTAACTAAGCCTAGGAGCTAGGGCCTAGTAGTAGTAGTAGTAGTTAGTAGTAGAGTAGAGCAGACGACGTTCTAGAGTGAGTAGGCCTGTCCAGGCTAGGCGTACCTGCCCATGCTACACTGTACAGTTGGCACAGACAGGTTAGTCAGTAGGTAATGGCCCTGTCAAACCTTGACGATTTAGTCAGCGTGATGCCAAACTTATCAAAATTTCTCTAAAATACTGGCATACGCTGAACTATCGATGCTTTTTTTCAACTTTGTTTGGGCGCATTCATATCATATTCATAACATATTGGACTTATTAGTAACTTATATAGAACATTTTGATTACTTATAGAAAACTTAACCGAACGAATGCTTAGCGTGTTGGCGGCGTTCACAACTTATGCCCAGCAATAGTCTACCTTATCCACAGCGCGCAGCACCGTATCGCCGATGACCACGTGACGTAGCCTATAAAAAGGCTGCCGCTCGTCGATTCAAATCATAACCGCACTAGACATCGCAGTATCAACATCATCGTATTGACATCACCCTGTTTTAATATACCTATTCCCCTAAATGCTGCCAATTCGCATTATACGATACCGTAACTGTAAGTTAGAACCACGTTCAGTAAGTTTTGTGGTCGTCTGGAACACATCAAATACGTCTACATATGTCAATATATGTTGAAGATAAGTTCGTTATAAGGTACATATAAGTTCGAAGAACGTTACTCATAGGTTAGAAATACGTTTAAGTAACTTACAAATAATGTGTGTCAAGGATCGCTTATCTTACCAACAACTTATGGCCCGCATATGCAGATTTTACGAGCCATGCACAAAACTTTTGATGTACTAGACGTATACCAGCATGCTCTTAACTTACACGAAACTTACCAATAACTTATTCGACGTACGCCACCGTATTCGCCATTTTTTTCATATTATTTTTACATTTCCCTCTTACAGAATCAGATATTGAATGACAGGAAATCACAACACCTGACTGTGTTTTCACAGTGTTTTTCACCATGTGGAAACTACCTAGTGATCGGAAACAATTATGGCACTATTTCTGTGTTCAACTTGATGACTGCTTTGAGCTCAAATGCAAATGAGCATCATCGGAAGCCGTCCTTCTCTTATCAAGGTATGCAGGCAGTTCATGCTTTCTTCTCTGCCTCAGACTGAATATAAGTGAGGGCCTAAATAATACTGGTACATACTTTATATAAAGTTCTTTATGTGACCCTCTCCTCACCATGGATATCAATGGGTATCTTGTATACAGTTATGTACACTAGATGTGGAATGTTTTTCCACTGAATACACAGCTGTGTCCACACTATAAATTTTTTTTTTTTTCGACAAAAAACTTCTATGCCCATACAGTATATATATATATGTGTGTGCCTACTATGGAATGGTCATGATGTGATGTCATCATGACCATATTTAGGCATATCATGTTTTTGTCAAATAAAATTTGATGGTCTGGACAGGGCTTGATGAAAACTGTAGTCCCAGAGAGACAGAGGAAGTTGAACCTGGTGTATGGTGGATCTATTGAATGAGTAGATGTAATAATAATGCACATTGAAATATTCTACTTCACTTTGTACTTTAAAATGCATTGATATATAATATTTATTTTACATGTGCTGTAGCTTGCAGTGGACCGATATACTCAATTGTTTCATCAGAGTTGTTTCTAATATGGTGAGTTAATTTAAATCAAACCATTTTCTTCAAGCATACATTTACATCATTTAAGATGTCTTTTGAGGCTTAAAATTGTTCAAATTATAAATTTATAAAGCACAAAATTGAGAATGGTTATAATTTGATTGATTTTTTTTTTATTGTAATTTTTTTTTCTTTTGTTTTCATATGTTAAGATTGGTATATGTTGTGCATGGTTGTGGCTGTAGAAAACTAAGGGTGGGTGACAGATATTTTTAGGGTGGCATGTGATAACATTAATCTAAATTTAACTCTAACATTAACTCTAAATAATAAGAGTGAATTTGAAGGATGGAAAAGTGGGTTAACAATGGTGAGTGGAGTGAGGGCCATGAAATTAGCTATAGATTGGGTGAAACACTTCAAGGCTGGGTGGCCCCGCCCACTATAACTACAGTACATCCCTAGTTGTACAACTACCGGTAATCTTTCCAACTACGCATAAAACTAAAATTTCAGTTTTATGTTTTTATTACTTGTATATTTTTTTAGTGCTGGTAGTGGAGATATTAAAGCATACAAGTGGGCTGATATTTTACAAAAGGTAAGTTATTATACAATTCAATGACCTTTTAAAATGCCATCTCTTCAATCACACCTACACATTTCTTACTTTATCTTACTCTTCAGTTTCAGCCTAGATGGACAGATTTCTAAAATTGTCAAATTATATTTGATCAATGAATGTAGGAACCTGCATATTACTATGTTAAACTATTACTAATATTTTAAAAAGTGAAATGTGGGCCACTGTTTGTGAGTATATGCTTGCGATTTATGTACTAATAATACTGATGTGTGCATATGAAAACAGTAACAACCATAGTCATGGTGCAACCGCCTCATTGTCTTACCATTCTATGCATTCTATAGAAAATTTACCTCCATTCAAGTACTAATCATGTCCTTTTTCTAGTGCGAATTTAAAAGGAATCAAATAAATGTTATTTTGAATTCAATTGAATTGAATCTTCAGGGTAGAAAGAGCCACAAACATTAAGTCATTTCCCGAAGCACTGTAAGTGGGTGGTGTAGGATTTGAACCTATGACCTTTAAATTTGAACATTGTCAATCTGAACCACAGCACTTGTACCAGCATACCATTAAAGTTTACAATCAGTGTTCCGAGGATCTGTTTTCTCTCCTGCCACAACAGCGCACTTTTATAAGACATAGGCCTACTGTTTTTGCTTTCACATACCATCCATTGACGCTGGTTCTCTCAAAAGCTAAAACTGTTGCCTTTTCACATTCATTCGTCTGTTGTTCCATTTCTTTCTGGAACTCACTGCCTTCATATTGTTTTCCTTTTGTTTATCAACCTTCCCAATTGAAAACTTGTGAACTGGTTTCTTTTAAATATGTAACCCCTTACTTTGATTGGCTTCATTAGCCTTTTTGGGGCGATAGTCAATATAAAAAAAAAGTAAAGAAACTGAAAAGTTCTGTCTGTTTTAATTCTTCCTCTTTGTTCAATAAATCATAAATTTATTATTATTATTATTATTA